GAGATTGTCTTATGTCAAGACCAATATCTTTTCCTATTTGATTCAGATAAATTACTAACGGTAACTAAGGTTCGTAGTCATAGTGAAAATATAAATATTTTCTAAAAATAGAAAAACTTTGTATGTCATTTGTATTTCAACTTAATCACAGGAGCAATACTATAGTGGGAATTTTAGTCTATTCTTCTACTAATATATATATGTGTGCGAAAGGTAAAAGGTTTAACAGAAGGTATTAATCATAGTATCTGTAATATTGCAGTTGAGAAGAACTATCTTTATCCTGCGGCTCCTCCATTAACTCGGTTTACAGAAACAGTCATGCCAGTAATGAAGAAGAAATTGCTCGAGTCTACAGTTTTGGATGACAACATAGTTAATAAATTGAATGAATTGACAATATCAAAACTCTGCGTCAGATTGAATACTCTTCAGGTGATTTCATTATTTGATGAGTAAATTATATACTGCTTTGCTTGACTTTGCAGGTCCAAGTTAAAAATCTGAATTCATTAAATTGATGCAGAACAAAAAGATTCTAAAGTGAGCAGATTTCAATGATAAGAATATAATGCAAAACCAATAAAGAAAAATTGAATATTTTCAGAAGTTTTACACTAAAAAGAATAGAAAATTTTAATTTTCTTTTCCAGTTCCAAGAAGTTTTACTGTAAAAGGAAAAGGAAGATTTAATTTCCTTTTCCTAAATATTCTTCTAGTTCTTTCTATTTGACTTGTTTTCCTTTTTCTATATTTCTTATTTTAATTCTATATTGGTGCCTTGTGTATCCCCAATTTTCAAGATTTTTCTGATTTTTAGGGGTCTTATTCAATCCCTGATTTTCAAGGGATCTTACCAATCCCTAACTTTCAGGATCTTGCTGATTTTTAGGCATCTTATCCAATCCTAGATTTTGATGGAATTTGCTGCACTAATTAGGAAGTCTAGCTTTTTTTCTTTGAAATAAATATAGGAAGTCGAGCTTATTAAGGAATAAAAGGAGATTTGGGGATCAAGCCAACTATCCCTATTAATCTGCCATCTTATCTTTATTTCCCGATTTAATATAATTTGTATAATAGTGGGATTACAACTCCTTTCATTATAAATAGGATTGTACAACAACTTTATGAAACTCGAGAAAAATTATTAAATACATCTCTAAATCTACAATAAGGTACCCTAATTTAGTTATTAAGTAAACTTTTCATGATTATTATTCAAATATTGAGATATTGTTTTATTCTTAATAGAATTTTCTTAAGTATCTTGGAGATTTGGAGACAAAATTTAGGAAAATCTTATTAAGAACAAAGTTTAGAGATCTCAAATCTCAATAATCAACACAATATCTAAACATTTGAATAATAGTCATGAATAGTTTACTTAACAACTAAATTAGGGTATCTTATCTATAGACACCAAAATAAATTTAAATAAAATGTAGATAACAGGAAAATAAGCTAAATAAAAAGAAATACAAGAATTTTTAGGGATGAAAAATTAAATCTTCCTATTTTCCTTTATTGTAAAACATTCCAAAACTAGAAAGGAAATTAAATTTTCTTATTCCTTTTAGTGTAAAGCTTCTCAAAAGTTTAGTTTCCTTTGTTGGTTCTACATTACATCTCTTATTATTAAAATATGCTCCACTTTAGAATCCTCTTGTTACATCATACATGATCCAAAATTTAAACTGTTGCTTTCTCATTTTTCTTGTTATTTTGGCTAGAACATTGACGTATTCTTGCTGATGAGTTGAGTTAGAATAGAATAAAACGAACGAGTTAATATTACATACGAAGTATCTTTCCAGGTTGAGGGATATAATAGCATAATATAAGAGAATTTTCCCGAATTTTTTTGTGGGAACTAGAGTCCAACATAGAAGGTTAAGAAAGGTCTAGCAATGATTTATAAAAGCCTAAAAATAATGGAAGAATCTAGTGTAACTATGTCCAGATTAGAAGGAAGCTTTTGTGTATTATTTTTTTTTTAAAGAAATAAATTATCTTGTATTTGATAATAGAAGAATTTATATTAGAAAGCGAAAACATGCTAGGTGGGAGAACAAGATATCATCAAGACAAGTACAAAGAGAAAAAAAAGCAAAGAGACCAGAAGTCATAGAAAGATCAATTATATGCTTTATCGTGAAACCCTATAATGACTCATTATCATAATTCATAGATAAAGGTGAGGTAGTCGAGTCTCCCTTGAGGCAAATGTGATTCTAGGAGATGCTGAATTGAATATTTTCCTGTAGAATCATTTCTAATCCTTTTTAAGACTTTGATGCTCTAAAAAGGAATTCTTCATCATCTCGTAAGTTGTGAACTTTTTTTCTAGCTGTATCTGTGGCTTTGAGATGATAGTATATACAAAGTTTCTCATCTTAATGACCAATTTGGTATCGGTAATGAAGCTTTTAGATCAATATTAAAAATTTATTCTGCATCATTTTGTGAATCTTGCAGTATATCCAGAAACAGATTGGCGTAGTTGAAGATGGCATCCAAAATTCTTGGGCACTTGTCAGACTATCTACTGATAAAAGATTGGGTAAGCCTCAGTTGTATCATTTGGTAATTAATGGTTCCGGCCAACAATATGACATTTTGTTGTTTTCTTTAACTTGTTGAATTAGAAGATGCAACACAAACTAGGGTTTATGATGAGCTCTGGGACAAAAAGTTTCACCTTTGTGCAAAAATCCACAAAATAAATAGTTTTAAAACACCACTCTAGTAGATTCATCAAAGAGCATGCAAAGACAGACCAATTCCCTTATTAGTGGAGAAAATATCGTGAGATAAAATGTTACCGTTACTTATTATTGGCAATAACTGTAAACAAGTACATAACAAATATCAAATTTAGATACTTATACCCTATCAAAGTAAGGAATCATGCATATACGTTTAGATTGGCTTCCATTTTGAGAATGTTGAAAAAGCACTCTTTCAAAAATCTCTAATTCTTACTCTTTAGGGGTAGCTCTCTTTGTATGTTCTCAACTAGTAAGCCAATGATATTGATCTTTTTTTTCCTCTTCTATCTATATATCATAATTTTTTCTTCTTCTTCATCTCTATTCTTTATGCTGGAAATTTGGTCACTTTTTAACTCAAAACAAAGATCTTTACCTCAAATTATGAACATTGAAAATGTAACAAAAAATAGGTCGATTCAAATCAAAATGAGCTTAGTTTTAGTAGCAGATTGATTGGGCATGTTACAGTTACTTGGACTACAACTTATATATAGAATGTTATTATTTGAAGGAGATTCTAGTCTTCCATGTAACTGAATTTATAAAACTGATTTTTACATTCTTTACTTCTGAGGGGGTAGACTTGAAAAATAACAATAGTACTTAGAGTTACAGAAAACGGTATCAGCGCTAGGTGATGTCCAACATGTTGGGCGTTTTTCTTGTCAATTTCTTTTTTCTTTATCATGTGAGTTAAATATCCTTCTTGGTTCTTTTTGCTTTGTCATTATTTTATGGTAGTGGAAAATATATTGGCAACTCCATGTATGAGAGAACTTTAATCAGTTTTCATACCTTCCAGGAGAGAAGGAACCTACAGGAACTTTAGAGAAAGGTTTCTTAACAGATAGTGAAGCAGTGCATGAACTGTTTGCAACCACCTTCAACAGCATCAAGGATACTACAAAAATTGCCATCAACAAAATCTGTGACTTCATTGGTGAGCTAATGAACTTTTTCTTGTATCTAAGGCTCCTTCCTATTAGGACGTAGAGTTATTTGGGAATAAAATAGACTAGAAAATCTGATTGTAACAAGTTTGGTTATTTATGACAATAAAATATGAAGTTGAGTTATTTAGGATTAAAAGAAAATAGGAAATTGAGCTGTTCTACTGGGAATGAGTGCAATGTCTTCCTTATATATGTAAGCTATCTCATCAATAGAATGAAGATTTTAATTTTTTAAGGAAAAAAAAAGGAACTTTAGGATGCATAACTTTAGAGATTAAAGAGGTCTTTCTAGTGAGCCATAAAACCTAATTCTATTTATTCCAAACTCACGTAGCCCATGAATAAATCCTAACCTTGAGACTGTAACACTTCCATTTTGCAAGTTTTTTATCACCACTCTGAGAACGTGCTCTTATATAGAAATCTTAATGATAATGAAGCTGTTAATATAATATTTTTAATTCAACTTCACAACTCTATGGTTGTTTCTTCGAGCACTGGTTGTAAAGTTTGATTTTTGGAATCTTCAAGTAGTTGTAAATCCATTTATGGATTATTTGCATAAACATACTGATGCGGAATCCAAAATCAACCAATGAAATCAGGAACTCACACAATTTCATTCAAGACACCAAAGAAATTTGATCCTATGAAAACTCTCCCTACTTAACCATTTATCAAGAATAATAGGAACTAAAATCACTGAAAAACGCAAAATTAAAAGAAGAATGAAAAAACGTTACAAGGAATTATCTTGATACATAGATCCACTCCTTACTAAAAAAAAATGAAGACACCTCTTTTGAATTAGACTCACAATATTATTAATTTTAATCTTGAATGCTTACAATGAAAACCTGATGCCTATTTATAGGGTAAGCCATGTGAATAAAAAAATAATAAAAATCTCCTAATTAAAATTGTAATTATATAGGAAATTAATTAAAAATAAAGTTTAAATTCCTAATTAGGTGCAATTACATAAAAAATTAATTAAAATTAAAGTCTAAATTCTTAATTATGATAGATATGGTCTTCCTCATTTACTTGGCTGATTGCTTCCTTCTCTTACCCATTTTCATCATGTACTTGAAGCAAGTTGATAAGACCATTATATCTTTGGATTAATTGGTTGGTAGCTTATTTTCTTGGACTTTTTTAGTAGATCCAAACCCATCTTTCTCATTAATCCAAGATTAGATGAAGAATTGGAAAGTTTGTTGTAATCTTTGAGTCTAGCTATTTATTATGGGCCTACTTGGCTTGATGATGTTTCTTCCAAGTGGCCCAAGATGATACATGCTCACATCATCTCCCTCCTCTTTAAGAGAATTCGTCTTCGAATATGGACTTACATCGAAAAAGGAAAGGTCGACAACATTAAAGGTGGTGGAAACGCCATACTTACCTGAGGCATCACATTCAAGGTCAAACGTTTTGTCAAAATTTAGTAATGCTATAATAGGCGCAATATACAACTTTTCTTTGAGTAAAAACATTTTTTTGTTTGTCTGTCCATACAAATTATGTCCTTAACAAGTTCATTTAAAGGTGTAGTTATGAAACTGAAATCCCTTACAAACTGTCGGTAGAAACTGACTAGTTCATGGAAACTCCTCACCTCACTTGCAATTTGGGCGTAGGCCAATCTTTAATGGCTTTTACTTTCTCGTCATCTACTTTGATATCCTGTGTGCTAATAATAAAGGCCAAAAAGATTAGTTTTTCACTATAAAATGTGCACTTTTTGAGGTTAGCATACAACTTTTCTTTTTGCAATATCTCTTGGACATTTTTAATTAGCTCAACATGATCTTCTAACGATTTTCCATATATTAAAATGTCATCAAAGTAAACAACTACAAACTTACCAAGATATGGCCATAAAATATGATTCATTAAACACATGAAGGTGTTAAGAGTGTTAGTCAACCCAAAGGGTAGAACCAACTACTTATACAAACCGTATTTCATTTTGAAGACAGTCTTCCACTCATCTCCGAGATTCATATGGATCTGATGGTAGCCAATCTTAAGTCGATCTTGGTGAAGATGCTTGCGCCACTTAACTTGTCGAGCATATCGTCGAGTCGAGGAATGGGGTGTCTATACTTAATCGTGATTTTATTTACGGCACAACAATCGACACATATCCTCCAAGACCCATCCTTCTTAGGTACCAACAAGATTGGTACTGCACAAGGACTTAGACTTTCATGAATATGTATTTTCTCCAACAACTCCTCTACATGTCTTTGAAGCTCGATCCGGGGGGGAGGGGAGGAAGTTGATCTAGTGCTGGATCTCTCATATCGGTGGTAATCCATCTGATATCTCCTTTGGAAATACTTTTTCGAATTCCTGCAAAACATACAACAAAACACTAGGCAAAGAGGGGTTAAGGTCGGTTAAACTTAAATAAGCCTCCTTATACTGAAGTACAACTAGACTTTGTTTCTCACAATACGCTCTTCTGTCATTGGGTCTTCTCTTTTCTTTTGGGCCTTTTGCTCTCTTAGTGGACCTTTATTTCTGGCCTCTTTATCACTCAGTGGCTCTTCTATTTTCTTTTGGGCCTCTTTTTGTTCACTCATTGGGCTTTCTCTTTTTTTTTTTGGGCGTCTTTTATTTTTTTTTCTTTTTGTGCTGTCATTCTTTCCATCGACTTTTTTATTTTAAACTGGTCTTCACATACCTCCTTTGATGTTAACAGGATGAGAGTGTGATTTCACTTGTTAAAGCTAAAGGCGTAGCGATTCTTAAAACCATCATGAATAACTCGTCGGTCATATTGCCATGGTCGCCCTAATAAGATGTGACTAGCATGCATAGTACGACATCACAAAGAACTTGATCATGATACCTTCTTATGGTGAAAGTTATCATTACCTGCTTGTTTACTCGAATGTCTCCTCACTCATTCAGCCATTGTAGCCAGTATGGGTTGGATTGCTTCATACAAGCTAATTCCAACTTATCAACAAGTGTTGTGCTGGCTACGTTGGTGCAACTAGCTCCATCGATGATCATGTTGCATATTTTTTCACCCACAAGACACTGTGTATGGAATATGTTCTCTCTCTGATTATTCTCATACTTTATTTGGATGTTGAGGGCTCTCCTTATAAGCAAGGACTCTCCTTGAGCTGCATACTCATTCTCCTCATTCTCATCCTCTAGTGATGACATGTTATTGATTTCAGAATCGCTATCGATTTTGCCATTGTCTCTTAACAGTGTCACCCTCTGATTCGGCCATTGGGAAGTAATGTGTCCCGGATCCTAAACACCTGAAACATTTGATAGTATTATGTTTCTGAGAAGAGATAGATGTTTTACCTTTATAGTCGAGTGTGGCTGCCTTCTCCTTCTTTGCCTCAACTTCCTTTATTTCCTCTTTCTTTGGCCATCTTGAGTTAAGGTAGGAGTGGTATGGAATGTTCTCTTACCTTTACTCTTTAGTTGTCTCTCAATCTTCATGGTCATGTGGACCATGTCCTCCACCTCTACATAGTGTTGTGATTCCACCATGTTGGCGATGTCTTTGTTGAGACCTCTGAGGAATCTCACCATGGTTGCTTTGGGATTTTTTTTTATATTGGCCCTGATCATAGCCATCTCTATCTCCTTGTAGTAATTCTTAACGGAGATAGACCCTAAGTTAAATACTGTAACTTTTGATGCATTTCTCTATAGTAGTAAAAGGGTGCGAACTTTTTTCGCATGATTGCTTTAATGTTTCTTCTGGAGGAAATTGATCGCTCTCCATTACGCCGTTAGTGGGTAGTTGATCCAACCACACTAAGGTGTAGTCAGTTAACTCTACCACTGCTAGTTTGATCTTTTTTTCTTCGTGGTAGCTATGGCAATCAAAGACTAGTTATATCTTCCTCTCCCACTCCATGTATGCTTCAGCATCATTCCTACCTTTAAAAAGTGGTATTCTCATCTTGTTGAAGCTAATATTACTATCCCTCCTTTCTTCTCTTCTCTCCACCCTATCTTCCTCCTCATCATTACAAGACCCGGCCTCATCGTCATCGTGTTGAGTCCTAGGTCGTCTGGTGTTTGGGGTCCCATGCCTTGCCTCACTTCGGTTATCACTTAGATTATCCACTTTTTTACTGAATTGTGTCAATTCTGCTTGCATAGCTTCCATAAAGAGTCTTATGTCAGCGGGGCTTTGGTGTTCACTTGACATCTTTAGAAACAAGTTCCCTACAAAGGAGTTAATAATCACATATAAAGATTTCTCACTAGTTCTCTCGTGTTTTACTCACTTGCCTTTTACCCTTTAATATTCTCATACACTCTTGCCTTTTACCTTTCTATCTCTCACCCTCAAGTTGAGTATCGGATAGATTTTCTTAAATCAAAGTATTCTCAAATATTGTTTTAAGACATCGTAAAGAGTTCTATTGAACAGATACTGAACCAATACTAAAAGTAAGAGTGTGATATATAGAGGAAGAAGTAGTGTGTTATCAATTAAGCTAAGCTCTAAGATGTATTTTAATG